GGTCGAATGGTCAAAAATGGTGCCTTGGTAAAAACCGAGGTTTGTGTTCCCATCGTGGCAGAGCCCGTAACCAGTCAGCCTTATGGCACGCTTTTCCAAGCAAGCCTCCGACAAACCATTCAGGAATAGCAGATGGCAAACACTGTGACTTAGGCATACCAATGCAAATACAATGCAAAGAAACACATACGTGTAGATAAAACAACATATCATGAGTTCGAGTCAAGTTCTCTTGTCCCCAGTGGAGTCACCAGAAACTGTAGACCACCCGAAACTCCGCTCTACGCGCGAGGGCGCGAATCGTGTTCATAGCTAATACAGTTCGGACTCCTATCACGGTTCTAAATCTAATCTCACAAAGTGCAATGTAAGACTGATAAATCACCAAAGAGTCCAAATCTGGCAAATCGTTTTAGAAAATCGATTTTAATCAAGAAATGCCAAACATGGACTACTTTGCCAGATTTCAGAGTCGCTACCTAAATATTTTATTTTTACGAAATTTAGGAAACCCTGGCTCGTGCCTAAGGCCACATGCCCGTCATCACCAAAGTTGCCTCGGCTCGGGAACTTGGCTACGAGAAGGGAAGTTGCTGAAATGAGCACCCATGCTCGCCCAATCAAAGATCGGCCTCTACTAACATGATATGTTGTTTTTGAAAACACATGTGCTCTTATTCCGGTTTATTAGCTAACCTTACTATGTGATGCGCACTGCATACAAGTATAGAATAAATCACTTGAGTTGGAACAAAACATCTCATGTTTGTTTTTCAAAAATGGTTTGGAAGTTGCTACTCGCAAGTAGGCTAAGTCGCGGCTTTGCCACCCTCAAGTGGACTTAGAAAAACATGATTTTGCCACTTCAAGTGGACTTAAAATGCATATTTTGATGAATTGTTCCAGTTCAAGTAATGAAGCCTTCATCTACAGGCATTCATACAGTTAAACACTTAAGCTGTTGTCCTCATGGCAAGCATGCTATCATGGCAGTCAGTTACACTTATGCAAAGATGCTAAAGCATAAACACTCACTGAGTACTCCAAGCCAAAACAGAAGCTAGTTAGTAATCGATGCATGATCCTAACTATGTCAACAATGCCTAATGCAACACATGCAAAATGCAACTAAAATAGGCTCGGTTATCTAGAATGGCATATGAATGCAATACTTGATAACATGCTTTGAGACACATATTCAAGTAAGTATTGAGATTCAATGCAGTTTGAATGATGCGCCGAGCCCGGTGCATGCAAGACAAATGAATGATGGATGCATGCAAGCATAATGATGCTAATTGAAATATGCCCTAATCTAACCACCGAAAGCGGATAAATAAAAGGGAGAAAGACGTGGGGTTAGAAGACATTCACACACACACGTACACTTATTACAAAAATATACCCTCTCGACGAAGGGTCTGAATAATAAGCTAACTAGCTAATGTAAGCTAATTAAACTAATTATTACAAACCAAAACAAATTAACTAATCCTAGTTAACTAATTAGTTATTACAACACAAATTGATTAGTTAAGCACGCTAAATAATTAAGTATAAAACTGACAAACTAGCTAACTAAGTAAAGCAGCTGCGTAAAGCAGTTAAGATAGGCCCCCGGGGCGAGAAGTGCATGCATGCTCGATTTGCCTTGTTCGAAAGTCCATTACCATGCCTAAACTTGTCTCTATTTGCATTTGATCTCAGAACACTGCACAAACCTCTAGATAGCTTCTACTCCAACATGGAGACCTCCGGGAGGGCTGCCGACCAGAAAATGGTGCTGTAGACCACCTGTAGACCACCTAAACATGCTGCTGACCAGAAAAAGTGGTCGGCTAGCTACTTTTTCTAGTCTTCCAACCAAAAATTCCTGCCAAGCTCCAATTTACTGCAACGGAGAACAAGAAGGGGCACAGTAGTGCATTTGCAAGGTATGTATGCACAACCACCCTCCCTATCATTTCTTAAGCTCAAGGAAGTGCGGTACTCGGCTCTCGGGCCACTAACCGAGCATCTTAATGCACGATGGCCGAGAAGCCAAGTTTGCACAATTCAATGTCAATGAATGCACAAATAACACAAAAGGGCCTTAACCTCTATCATGCATGATCAAGAGGGTCGGCGACCAAGAAATGAGGCACGTTTCATCTCTTCAAGTATGAAACGTCCCTCGTTCGTCGTGTTTGGATTAACTTTCAATCTAAACACAATGCAATGCAACACATTTCAAACACAATGCAATGCAACAATGTAATAACCCGATCCTCGTGCATGTTTTCTGATATATTTTCAGACCCTGTTTTGTGTTTTTGAATGCTTATTATGAAATCCTTCGAAAAATTATGGTTAAGTAAGAGGCTTTCATGTTTAGGGATGTCTATCTGTTAGACAAAGAAAGTATCTGTTAAATCTCTAAGTTTGAAGCAGGAATTGGAAGCCTTAGGAGCTTAATTATCTGAAATTGAGTTCATATATGTGATCAGCATAATTTTTAGGTAATATTAAGCGGTTCTGTGAAATTTCAATTTCAGATGTTTAAACGATTGATTTTCGTCTTTATTCTATATATATATATATATATATATGTATGTATGTATGTCTATGAGAAGCATTTGAACTTAAGACTTAGAAGTTTCTCATAAAAAAACACCCCTTGGGAGACAAGTGAAGGGGAGAGTGGAGCAAGGAAGGTTTGATTAAGAGAAGACCTAGAGGGGAAACTTCAACAAGATTAGAGATTGAATAGTCTAGATCTAAGCTCAGAAGTAAGTCTTTAGCTTCTCTGACTCCTCTCTTCAAATTTAAGTGTAATTCCATCATAATTGTACAACCTAGACTTGGAACATGCTTTCAAATTGGATGATTTTGATCTAAGTTGATTATGCATATATGTGGAGAAATTATCTTTTATTTCTTACCTTTTTCATGAGAATCATGAAGAACTCACTATATATACATATATGTGATGTTGAATGCATAAGAAAATTAAGTTATGTTTGAGAATCAAGGATCTAATTTATGTCTAGATTGATATGTATGTATTTGGAGATCCAATTAACATGAGTTTTAGGTTATGTTTTATTAATTAAACATGCTAATTTGAGCTTGATAAAAACGTCCCAAAAGAATGTGATTTTGAAGCAAATTTCGGACAAAAAATGCAGGATCGCCGCACATGCGGGAGCCAATCGCCGCACGTGCGGGGGGTTGTGGCCGCACGTGCGGGAGAAGAACAAAATTGGAGTTTTGATTCTGCCTAAAAGGCACGTGCGGGCTGCACGTACGGGACCAGCCGCCGCACGTGCAGGGATCCTAGCCGCACGTGTGGCACATGTTGAAAAATATGAGTTGCTCCGTTTTGTGTGTAGGACCCTCTAATGTTGTCGAAATGTATATTTGATGCCTTCTCGATATTGATAAATTCCTTCGAAGCAAAGCGGAATAGAAAGTAATTTGATAAGGGAAATGAACTAATATGTAAGTTTGAATGTGTGCAGGGCACACTTCGGGAGGAACAAGCACGTCGTTACAATACTGTGAGTAGTAGTACTGTTATATGCTTCAAATGTAGCTAATGATTGTCATAAGTATTATGTTCATGCATAAAATGCATCTATGTTATGTTTCAAAACATGTAAAGAAAGAAATGGGAAAGATGAAAAACATTCATTCAGTAAGACTCTGAAACCAAGTTATTCGGTTATTGTAATATGAAACAAAGTGCTACGTGGAACTAAGTGCTACGATGTGAGCCATCTCTAGAATCCGTGTGAGACACCTCTTGAGTTCATACAAGCATGTCCAAGGGCTTAATGCCAACTTACTCAAGGGCTTAGTGCCACATGATTCAAAGGCTTAATGCTAACTTATTCAAGGGCCTCGTGCCACTATGTTCAAGGGCTTAACGCCACCATGTTTAAGGTCTTGTGCCATTACGTTTAAGGGCTTATAGCCATCATGTTTCAAGATATCATGTTGCAAGCTACCATGTTTCAAGAATGAGCCAAGACCGTCATGAAATTAACACAGATTTAAACCAACTATGTGTGCAACTTTTTATGCTTTGATGTATTCTATTTCAAGTTAAGCATTATTTTATTTATGTATTACTATTCACTGAGCTTGGCTCACTCTGTGTTATGTCTGTTTCTGTAGGTAACCAACTAGGTGGTCAGTCCTAGCCCTGACACCCGTTTTCTTTTGTCAACCTTCGAGGGTCCACGCACTGCACGAAGCCATTTATTTTTGTAAAGTTTATTAAGATATTGGCTTACCTTTGATTACCCATTTAAGATTGAATGTATAGAACTTCAATGATTTTCATATAAGCCCATGATGGGGCTGGGACTGTATGTATGTTTGTATGTAACCAATACTACGAGATATAGTTTGGAACTTTACCTATTTTCTATGGTGCTTATAATGCATGTCAGGTCCTGGCATATAGATGTAGCTTAATGGAGATTATACGTATCGTTATTTTCTTATTATATGCTTTCGATAAGGCCCCGTATGTTATGTACAACAGGTTAAATGTTCGTTTTTGAACGGGTGATGCCCAAACTTGTAGAGGCGAGTTTGGAGGACATGACAAGTGGTATCAGAGCACGAGTTGCTATCTCACACACGGATCCATTGAGCTTTTGGGTGTCTAGAAAAGCTTTAGGCATCTTGCATGACATCCTGAAAGTATATGAAAGAGCGATGGCAACGTTAAGTATACTCTGATGATGCTAACACTTTTGAAATATGTCTATTGTATATAAATGATTATTATGTAGGCAATGGTGAGAACAATGACAGAAGATACAGAAGATGCTACTTTTGCACGGCTGGATAGAATGGAGAGAATGATTAAAGAAATGGCGGAGACCCTACGGCAACAACAGCAACAGCCACAACAACAACCGCCACCACCACCACCGATACCTCCTCCGGCAGTACAAGATTTCCATGCTGAAGACCGGACTATCACTCTTACTAAGGAGTTTAAAAAGATGAAACCGCCATCCTTCAAAGAAGGAATAGAACCAATGAAAGCTGAGGCGTGGGTGTTGGGAATAGAGAAGTTATTCGAAGTCTTTCCCTGCACGGAAGCTCAAAAGGTGCAACTGGCTGCCTTCACTCTTGAGGATGAGGCACGTAGATGGTGGATGCTTACGAGAACTATACACCAAGGATTGACGTGGGACAAATTCTTGGAATTGTTTTATGATAAGTACTTCCCTCAAAGCATGCGGGATAAGAAGGTAACAGAATTCAAAACTCTCAGACAAGGGAACAAAACCGTCACCGAATACGAAGCCCAATTTGCAGAATTAGCTCGGTTTGCACCTCATATGGTGGACACAGATTATAAGAAGGCGCGTAAATTTGAATGGGGGATTGCAGAGCGCTATCCTGGATAAGGTCAACATGTTGAAGTTACCCACTTATGTTGATGTGTTGGAGATGGCTGTTATAGCGGAAGGGAATCTCGCTACTCAGAGTCAAATTTCAGAATGAAAAGGGAAGAGGCAAAATACTCAATGGTCGAAGGGGTCACCTACTTCACCAAACAAGAAGCAGACTTTATGGAGTTCAAATACTTCCACCCCTAGTCAGGATTCAATGCCGACTTGTCCGGAATGTGGGAAGAAGCATCGTGGAACGTGCTACCAGAAGTCTGGAGTCTGTTTTCAGTGTGGTAAGACGGGTCATTTGATCAAGGATTGCCCTCAAAGAAATCAACAGAGTAATAATAGGACCGCTACAAGTTCAGCGGGGTCTGCACCAACTTCCAACACCAAGGCCACTGCTAAACCTACTAACAATAAAGACACTGCGAGACAAGGCAGGGTGTTCACATTGGTTTCGGGAGATGTACAAAATGCGGCAACAGTGGTGTCAGGTACATTTATTGTTCACGGTCATTTCGCTCATGTATTGTTTGATTCTGGCTCCACCCACTCTTTTGTGTCGAAACTATTTGCTCATAGTTTAGATAAAACTGAAGAAAAACTGTCTTATATGTTGTGTGTGTCTTCACCTTTGGGAGACCCTATAATTTGTGCTTCTGTATATGTTGCTTGAAAGACACTGCGAGACAAGGCAGGGTGTTCACATTGGTTTCGGGAGATGTACAAAATGCGGCAACAGTGGTGTCAGGTACATTTATTGTTCACGGTCATTTCGCTCATGTATTGTTTGATTCTGGCTCCACCCACTCTTTTGTGTCGAAACTATTTGCTCATAATTTTGATAAAACTGAAGAAAAACTGTCTTATATGTTGTGTGTGTCTTCACCTTTGGGAGACCCTATAATTTGTGGTTCTGTATATGTTGCTTGTGAACTCAAACTTGGGGATATCCGGGTATATGCCAATTTGTTACCTCTTGATATGGCCTATTTTGATATTATTCTGGGAATGGACTGGTTGGGTGAATATGTTCTGTGCTTTGAAATCATTATATTTACCAGATTTTTTCAAAACTTTTTGAACATTGTGATGAAAACGAAGAGGAAGGAATTCCTTGGGATTTGCAAAATTTGATCAATTGAGAGAAAGAGAGGCGTGCTATGCCCTTAATGAATGAGATCATGTTTGTTAATGTGAGTACTGAGAAGGATCCTGGCTTGATACAGATTCGTTCCACACTATCTTCAGCTCGAATGACTAGTCGCTTTCTTAAAAGATTTCAAAAAATGTTTTGCGCGGTCCTGCGAAGAACTGTGTGGAATCGCTCTTGAGATTGTGCAGCTTAGGATCGCTCTCAGCCTCAAGACTCAACCCCTTTGCTTCCAAACCTTGAACCTTAATTCAGAATGTTCAACGGCCAACCACAAGGTAAGGCCCGTGTGGCTAAATCAGAAGCAGCCCATGAACTAGGGGCGAGAATATCAGATGTGATCAAAGGATGCTTGCGATGCTAGATCAAAAGCAGCCCTTGAACTAGGGGCAAAAATGTCAGATGCGCTCGAAGAGTCAAAGATGAGCCTTTTCTGCAAACCAGGGAAGACTGGCAAGAATGCCAAATCCCATAAGGGGGAAAGAAGAAAGTATTGCTGAAGGACAACCAAGTTCCTATCCACAACACTAGGGGCAAATTCACCCTCCATTGGATGGACTTCTACATCATCAGCGAACAGCAGCCATTCTCTTGGATTCAGATGGCTCCTAGATCTCAAACCATTCAACATGGACAAACCTAAACTTTTACCCTTGAGAGGCTCGCTGGGCCGACAACCCGGAAGGGCGACCCAGGCAAAAGTTAGAGCAAGAAAAAGAAGAAAAAGAAAAAAGAGAAAAATGCAAAAAAAAAAAAATGAAAAAGAAAAAATGAAGAAAATGAAAAGAATTGAAAAGAAGAGAAGAACATAACTCTCAAGGTTGAAAACTCGGAAGGGTGGCCTTGGCAAAATTTAGAGCGTAAAAGGTGAGGGCCAATACACGAGTGAACCTAAACCGGAACTACGTAAGGCTTGATTCCCATGTTTGGGATACGTAGGCAACTTCATCTTGAAGTCCAGCCACAAACACTTCCAAATGGATTGTGTCCATGTAATGGTTTTGATTATCTTTGTTTTCTCTGTATCCGAGAGTTTGGTCGTGATCATCACTCGGAAGGACCGATTACAAAGCGTTGCAGTGCTATCCAAACAAGGGGCAACTTTCCGTTGCCATTCAAACAAGGGGCAACTTTCCATTGCCATGCAGTGTCCTTCAGACAAGCGGCAGTTTTCCTTCCGATCTGAGGTTGTGCATCTCAAGAGTAAGTTATGTGCTCGTTGAGCAGTAGCTGTTTGCCGAAATGATTTTTCGAGAATTTTTACTATGGTTGCTTGATTCTCTTGAAAATTATCCCATTTTTCCAAAACTGGACAATTTCTTGAACCCAAAAAAGGAAAATGTTCAGTGCTCATAGCCTAACTTGCATGATTTCAAATCAGAAAATTGAATAACCATGTTAATCTAACTCTCATTTTGGTCAAAATTGTTTTAGTAAAAAGCCAAAAACAAGAAATGGTCAAAATGGTGAACTAGGGGCACAGTTGAGTCAAGTGTTCTGTCTTTTTCCCTTTATTGACGCACTTGCCAGAAAGGGCACTCTACTTGCCAGAAAAGGGCACAACTGAAGCTAACAAACAAAGGGCCGAAAGCTCTCTCATCCTATGAGCAGCGAGGTATCAAGCCAAGTACGAAGCACGAATTGGATTGGATCAAGATATTCCACTCCCTCATCTGGACAGATCTGATCACGTCCAAACTCCCCAGCAGAGCATTGTCAACCAATGCCAGCTGTAGATTTGCTACATATCCAGTTGTAGCGAAACCCCTCTGTGGGAGAAACTCACTGTTGTGAACATGAAGAAGAATCTAACGGAAGGCTAGGGGCAAGAGCCCGCAACTTTCTGTTTATCCATCAACCACCCAGGGGAGGGATAAAAAATGAGAGATTGAAGAATAGAGAGATGTGCGCTAAGAGAAAAAAATGAGAAAAATGGATTTTTCAGAAAAACAAAGCTTGAGGGCCAAGTGATGTGAGGATCACAAATGAGAAAGGGTGGGAAACAATACCCGGAGAAACAGGCTCCTTGTGCACGTCTGAGTGTCGTGTCTTTTGTTTTGTCTTGATTTTTGTTTTGAGTCGTTTCGAGTGTTTCTCGATGTGTTTAGGTTGTTTACCTCTTATTTTTCTTTGTTGAGTCGTTATGTGTTGTGTTCAGTTGTAGGCTCAATACCTGGTTGAGAACTCATTTCTTAATTTCAAAAAAGTCGTTTTGTGCTCAGAGTGCCGTGTCGTTCTCCACATTTGTGCAAAACAAGATTTTGTTCTTTCAAAAATCGCAGGGTTCAGCCCAGGTCATATGAGAACAGTAAAACAAGGACCTATCTGAAGCTATATGCGTTCCAGGCTGCGAAGCAAAATAAAAGAAGGAAAATCAGAGTATCTTAGTGTGTTTCAACTTCGGCACATGCCGTGATTGTACTCTGGATGTACCTCTTCAGGCCTTGTCAGTGCTCCGAAGTATGAGTGTATCACAACCCCAAGCTTAAGCCTGCTTCAAGTCAGAATGGCAATTAAAGCAGCAGCAAATGTTATCTCTCGCTAATATAAAACAGGGTGTACCCTTTTCAAGCGGAATGTGTTACAAACCCCTCCAAGAGGTAAATCGGAGGTCACGTTTGGATTTGGTCTTGTTAAGGCTTGTATTTCCTTATTCGGCATTTTGTTTCAAACACGCTTTTGAAGTTGCACATTCGTCTCATTGTTATGCACACCATTTCTCGCATTATTACGCACACCATTCGTTGCATTGTTATGCTCGTTACTTGCATTATTATGCACATCTATCTTGCATTGTTATGCACCTTTCCACCCACATTGTTATGCACCTTACTTGCATAAAACATGCATTTTATCGCACTGTCTTGTGCACTTACACTTTGTATCTCATTCGCACTGTCTTGTGCACTCGCGTTGTCTAACGCATCGCGCTATCTTGCGCATTCGCACTATCTTGTGCACTTGCGTTGTCTAACGCATCGCGCTGTCTAGCGCATCCCACTGTTTTGTGCAATTTATCATTCGCACTGTCTTGTGCACCGTCTGGTGTAGGAGACCTCAAATCGTGCATCTTCATTCGCACTGTCTTGTGCATTCTCCGGTCTAGGAGACCTTAAATGCTCTAAAGGTGCAATTCCTTTGGTGTTTGTCATGCCCGAATGACTCCCAGTGGTCTGGTATAGCCACCTGCCTGTGTTTGCGGTGAGTTCTTAGGGGACCAACTGAGACGGTGGAAACTAGAGTTCGAATGGCTTATGCCTAGAACGCAAAGGTTTGGGATTTCCGAGACTAAAGTTTGGTTTAAATACCCAGGGGTATAACCTTGGCTTGAAATCTGTATGGCAGCCCTATAGATTGAGATAGCATGTATATGCGCCTCAATTCTGGATACCGAATCAACCTAGTTTATCAACCTGTTGGAGAATAAGGAAAGCTGCGACCATAGCTAGGGAGAAAAGTAGTACCTATGGTTCAACCAAGAAGAAGCAAAAGATCCCCAACAACATGAGGTAGGTCATTGCCAATTGCCCCTGTAAGGTATCTTCGCTTCCTAACTACTACATCATCTAGTATGTATATTACATTGTACATAGCATACATTACATGCATTCATTGCATATAGAATATATATTGCCTTGTAGTGCACTTCCACCTGCATTGTCGTGCATTCATCACTTGCGTCGACACGCATGTTTCGTTTCCACTTGCATTGTCATGCATTCTCACTTGTGTCGACATGCATGTTTCGCCTCCACTTGCATTGTACGTTATATTGTAGTTAGCATGCATTTACTGCATTATCCATCTATGACTTGCGCCTTTCCATGTTGAGCTTGGTCTGGTATGTGCCCATACTTTT